TAGGTGTGACAGCACTGGGTGTGCTCCGGCACTGGATGTGGCGGAACTGGGTGTAAGGCCGCTGGGTGTAATCGTGCTGGGTGTGACAGCACTGGGTGCCGCTGCACTGAGTACCTATATGGCGCCACTGGGCGTAGCTGCACTGGCTCTAAATGGAACTGTATGTGACAGCACTGGCTGTGGCAGCAAGCTGGGCGTGACAGCAAGGTGACTTAGGTCCTGCGAATTATGCTTATCATTTGTTCGGGGGTCCGGGGTTGGTCCGACACACAAACAGTGCCAAGAAAAGCGACTATGAAAAAAATTCATTTCAGGGCCACACTCCCATTTAGATAACACCCATACTAGAAAGTCTGATGAGTTTGTGCTCCATGGCTGAGTGAATCTGTTTGTGCTGTCAGCGTTCCTTGGCGGCACCATTTCCTAGTGTCAGCTCCAAGAACACAATGTTGGCAGATGATCTCGGAGGAGACATTGGCCTGGGGCAGTGCCGACCGACAGAGGCGTCCGCCAATATCCAAAGACATACGATTTGCCTCCTGTTCAGACTGTCATTGCTCGATCCGTGTTCATTCCGGCAAACCCAGCAGCAACGTTGCGGTAAGGATTGTAACAAATATGCAATCAATATTAACCCAGTTGTTGAAAGGGTGGGCTGTGCGTAGTGTGTATGTCACAGGGGAGCAATGCCGCTTCAACCCTATTGGCCGTAGTGTCTAACGGTGGCGGCCATATTGCGCAGACCAGAAACCGGCTGCCGCCTGTGTTGAGGAATAGGGAATTCGGGACCTCGATTTACGTTTGCGGCCGCCGTATCCGTTACGTTCAAGTTACGTAGATACGGAACCCGGCGTCTTACGCAGAATTGAGTGGGGAACACGATCGTATCTTCAGAATTCCTCAAATTCACTCGCCTGACCTACATTTGCCCCGGCCGAGGGGGTTGATTGAACCCACCTCGCTAATGCACCGCTAATTAAACTAGAATTAAGCGATAAAGTGGTCGTATGCGGCAAAGTATAATGCAGAGTGACTGGTAGGAACCCACTGTAAGGGTCTCAGGTCAACCGGTGACCTCTGAGGTCAGGTCAAGTGATCTAAGGCACGGGTTCGGTTTTTGGTAAATAACTTCGCCAAAAATGGCCGTAGAGCCGCGATTTTGGCATCATCGTGTTCAGCTAGCTCAGGCGCATCGAGTGATGTACTTTTTGTTCGGGTCAGATCAACTTAGGGTGTTGACCTCAGGTCAAGGTCAGGTCAGCACCCCCAGGTCACGAAGCTGGTCGAAAGAGGTCATGTCGCATATCATTCGATTCGGCAGTTCTTCCTGAGTCCATTGGTGGCTTTCCCGACTCGCTAGCTCAATTTGGTCGGGAGTTATTGAAGAAAAATGGTGACCCTTGTGACGTCACAAATGACGTCACGCAAGGGCAACAATGCAAATATGAAGCATAGAACCTTGCAAAGAGTGCATGAAATCATGATTTTATATGCTTGAGATAGTTTCAGATCATTCTCGGCGCCAAAATAACAATTTTCATATTTCCCCATTGACTTATAAGGGTTTAACGTACTAGTTCCTTATAGCTGATGATTTTTTAGGATTTCATCTTGTTCTCCACTCAATTCTGCGTAAGATGCCGGGTTCCGTGTCCACATAGCTTGAGCGTAACGGATGCAGCGACCGCAAACGTAAATCGAGGTCCCGAATTCCCTATTCCCCAGCACAGGCGGCGGCCGCTTTCTGGTCTGCGCAACATGGCGGCACCGTTGGACACCATTTGGCGGCCGATGCGCATTCCACATTATAGAGTTCAGTGGTGTATGTACATAGTATGTGTGCATTATTCATTTGTTATGCTTTTTTTCGGGATCGAATCTGTAATGGTCGTCATGGTTCGACTACAGCCGTTTGCGTGTTATGCTGTATGTAACGTGTATAACCAGTGACCGCTACAACGAATGTCTTCGGTCATATATGTGGAAACTGGATCAAGTCAGGGCACAGTTTAAATTATTTTACTTTTTAAGTAATTAAAAAAAAATAGTGTTATAAATTTTACCCAAAATTTTACTAAACCAGTATAGCGCCTTTTGGGGCGACTAACGGAGCGAGCGAGAGGGTGAGCCTTGCACGTGCGAAATTTCGAGGGGGTACCTCCAACTGACTTGTGCACGGCACCCTACTGACCGGTTTCTAGCGATGTGCCAAATTTGAGCACAATCGGCCCAGCCGTTCTCGAGATCTGGAAGCGGCACCCTGCACGTGCGCACGTGCAAAATGGGTCCCAACTGACTTGTGCACGGCACCCTACTAACCGGTCCCTAACTGCGTACCAAATTTGAGCGCAATCGGTCCAGCCGTTCTCGAGATCTGGAATCGACCCCTGCACGTGCGCACGTGCAGCAGCACCCCAACTCTGGCACATGGATATGCAGTGCCTAATGGGTGCCTACCTACATGCCAACTTTCAGCGCAATCGGCCAAGTAGTTACCGAGATATTGCAACAATTACAAAACTGACACCTCTTCGTTTTGCACGTGGCACGTGCATAAGGGGTCACCCACATGCATCGGGAATAGTCCAATACTTGGTAGAAGGAATGAAGCTACCCTACAAAAATTACCGCGTGTAAATCGGTCAAGTGGTTGCTGAGATATAAGCCTCGCAAAAGCGTCCGCACGGCCGGCCGGCCGGCCGGCCGGCCGGCCGCTCATACTCAGAAATTTCCGTTAATCTAAGGAAAGACTACGCTCGCTTCGCTCGCTCCGTAATAAAAACCAGTATAACGCCTTATGGGGCGACTAACGGAGCGAGCGAGAGGGTGGGCCTTGCACGTGCGAAATTGCGAGGGGGTACCTCCAACTGACTTGTGTACGGCACCCTACTAACCGGTCTCTAGCGATTTGCCAAATTTGAGCACAATCGGTCCAGCCGTTCTCGAGATCTGGGAGCGGCACCCTGCACGTGCGCACGTGCAAAATGGGTCCCGACTGGCTTTTGCACGGCACCCTACTAACCGGTCCCTAACTGTGTACCAAATTTGAACGCAATCGGTCCAGCCGTTCTCGAGATCTGGAAACGACCCCTGCACGTGCGCACGTGCAGCAGCACCCCAACTCTGGCACTTGGATATGCAGTGCCTAGTGGGTGCCTACCTACATGCCAACTTTCAGCGCAATCGGCCAAGTAGTTACCGAAATATTGCAACAATTGCAAAACTGACACCTCTTCGTTTTGCACGTGGCACGTGCATAAGGGGTCACTCACATGCATCGGGAATAGTCCAATACTTGGTAGAAGGAATGAAGCTACCCTATAAAAATTACCGCGTGTAAATCGGTCAAGTGGTTGCTGAGATATAAGCCTCGCAAAAGCGTCCGCACGGCCGGCCGGCCGGCCGGCCGGCCCGCCGCTCATACTCAGAAATTTCCGTTATTCTACGTAAGACTCCGCTCGCTTCGCTCGCTCCGTAAACACTGTTTACGAAAGCTTGTAGATAACAGATAAAGCCACAGATAAAGCCACAGATGCATCATAGTGATGCAATTTCATGTCATAACGATAATCGAGGGCTACTTTTTGATGCCCTTCATCTCCGAGCTCACTCCACTAGTTATCGAGCCTGACCTCATCCACAACAAAGGGTGTCTGGTGCTGATGATATTATGAGCTGTTTACATCAGCCATGGCCAAAACGTGACCGAAACCATAACCGACCTGTCCAGTCCATTCTAAGCCGCGGCAAGGAAAATGAAAGGTTCTATCCGGAGCATGGTTATTTTTTTTTCAAGGGCAAGGCGAAATTTTCCCAAAAAACTGCAATGAAGTTACACCTGTTTGATGCGCAAAACGTTAAAAAAACAACTAAAACTGCGATGCTGATGAATAATTGAATAAGTGCTTCTGGGTGTTTAGAGGTGTATCAGGTTGATTAAAACACTTTTTTAAGTTTACTGAGTACCTTATTGTGAAAACGAGCCAGGCGAATGACAATCATCTCCCGCTTTCAATGACGTTATTGGAAGACCAGTGAAGAATATCGACGACTTAAACTGTAAAAAATGCTGGTTCATGAAAGTAAAAACTCCCAAAATTTAAGGGCTAGTTAACGGTCATTAAAAAAAACACGTCGTTGTCTCTCTCTCTCTCTCTCTCTCTCTCTCTCTCTCTCTCTCTCTCTCTCTCTCTCTCTCTCTCTCTCTCTCTCTCTCTCTCTCTCTCTCTCTCTCTCTCTCTCTCTCTCTCTCTCTCTCTTCCATCCTTATCACACAGCTGTCGTACGGTGACATTAGCCAGTCCTCCTTTACGCACACCAGCCGCCCAATGACCTGTGGCCGTCCCTCCCACGCGCGCACCCTGCAACAGGCTGTATCGCTGCCGTCCCGTTGGACACCGGCCGACTGTAAGGCGGCGGGTGGCCATGGCGGCGGCGGCGGCGGGCTCAGGCCACCGGCGTTATTAATAGAGAACCGCCGGCCCACAAGGACAGACCAGCTCTGGCTGTCCGTCTCCCGACTCCGGTCTGAGCCGGTCCTAGCCACACCGTCCACCGCCCACCGCCCTGCCGAGGCGGCGCGACACCGCCGCGGCAGCGACCCTACCTCACAGCTCGCCTCGCCGCCCCCGGCGGACGGAGACCGGTCAAATTTCCACGGCCGGTGCCAGGGTGCGGTCACACTGACCGGTCACCGACACCCGGCGGCGACAGACAGAAATATCGCCGCGCCACCTAACGCTTCAATGACAAACGCTGGCAGTGGACTGTCCGAGAAGAGCGAAAGAGACAGAAACAGAAAGGGGGAGAGAGAGAGAGAGAGAGAGAGAGAGAGAGAGAGAGAGAGAGGAGAGAGAGAGAGAGAGAGAGAGAGAGAGAGAGAGAGAGAGAGAGAGAGAGAGAGAGAGAGAGAGAGAAAGAGAGAGAGATGGAAAAAGAGAGTCAGGGAGTTAGAGGCCTCTAGGAGACAGTGGGACAGAAGGGACCGTCTGCTGACTGACCTGCCTTCACCAGTTTGAAGCTGACACCACTGTAGGTCCTGAGCAGGTCAGCGGCCGCTGGTGAGATGTCCCTCAGTGCCCCGCTCTCTCCAGCCATGGCTGCTGGCTCCCGAGTGCGCGGTGGAGGCGGCGGTGGCGGCGGGTCACTGGGAATGATCACACAGCTGGTCATTGGCTGAGCCACACAGCAGGTTACTGCGAGCGGTCACACAACGGGTCACCACCGGCGACCACGTAGCAGGTCATTGCGAATGACGACACGGCAGGTTACTGCGAGCGGTCACAGGTGCCCCGCGGACCTCAGCTCCGGTCCGATGAGCGCGCGGGGTCAAGGCCAAACGGTCGGTACTGACCCCCGGGTGACGGGGCATGTAGATCTTAGGGAGCCCAGGTCACTGCCGAGGCACCCTGGGGAGTGGGTGTTTCAGCGCCGCTGATGAATACGTTCCACAATAGTAGTCGCTAGTTGGCAGCGAGCAGTCGTCGGAACGCTGCCAGCGGTGACCCGGACCTCAGGGTCCTGGCTGCGGGAGGGTAATAAAACTAGCCGCCACAGGCCGCCAGGGGGAGTGCAGTAACGTTACACCGCCTGGACCCCAGGTGCTGAGGAACCGAACTAATTGCTTAGATACCTTCTACACCAATGATACAGAATAATGGAATGCTGTTATCACAATTCCAAGTGATGATAATCAAAATGTATTTTATTTTCAAACTCACCTAGCAGTGACAGGAGCTCTCTCTGACGACACTCGCTCCGGCGGCACGGACTGGTCAGTCGTCACGGACTGCACGGGTGGCTCACACTGCTCGGACTGCGCGAGCGGCACGGGCGGCACGGACTGCGAGCGGAGCGCGGCGGGCGCCGACGGTGGTTGGGCGGGCACGTCAAGTAGGACCTCCACTGGGAAGATCACGTACATGGCCGTGGCCGACAGGCCATGGCGACACCACCGAGCCGACGGCCCACCTGCCACTGGCCGCCGCGCGCCACCTGACCGCCGCCGCCGCCAACGCCGACGCGTCGTCGGCGCAACGGCCGCGGCGTCGCTGGCGACGCAACAACAGGAGCGCCGCCGCCGACGGCCGCGCTCGCCAGGCGCGCGGGACGGGCGCGGTGGAGAGGGGTGGGGTGGGAGGCTGAGGGTAAATTGAGGCCAGCTCCAGTGTATGTCCCCAGCCAACTGCAATCCCTTGCCTTTCCTCTATTGCACAATCCCGACACCCTGCCCCATCTCCTTATTTTCATTCTCCGCGAGATGCATTCAATCCGCTACCGTTTTCCTCTCTCATATTCCCTCCTTTCTCCTTCCTCTCTCCCTCTCTCCCAGCTGAGGTGGGCTGGCCACGGAGCCATCCGACACAGCCCAGTGTGTATAATTCACGCTAGTGATAATCAGACTAACCGAGATTCTGTAAACAGAGGTCTACGAGCCGACCGCGCGGCGGCTCCGGACCGCACTCAGAAACAAACTGCCAACGTAATGACGTGGCTAATTCAGCTGGGCAGGGGTTATTAGCCGTCTCTGCTAACACCAACACAGTCTGGGCAGACGAGATGGGTCAATTAGGTAGGTATGCTGCAGACGTCCTAAATGCATCGGGTGAAGTGAAACCAGGGTTGTGCTTGACTCATGAGTCGAGTCAGAAATTTGACTCAACTCTGACTCAAATGAGTCAGATTTGAGTCGGGTCGGATAAAATGTTGAGCTGTTGAGTTGAGTCAGAGTTGAGTCGGACAAAAATATTAAGGCGTTCAGTTGAGTCAGAGTTGAGTCAGTAAAATAACTTTTGACAATGAGTAGAATCAAACATTTAGGAACATGAGTCAGCTGACTCAACTTTCTAGAAACAAGCTTTTCTTCCCCCCCCCCCCCCCGCTTAACAACTTGGCCCTGGCCCTGCTGCTGGATTTTTTTCACCCCCCCCCCCCCGCTCAACAACTTTTTTTGTCTGAGTCAATTTGAGTCAACTCACTTGACTCAACAAAAAATTTGAGTCAAGTTTGAGTCGACTCATGCTTTCATTGAGCCGCTTGAGTCATGAGTCGAGTCAAGGGAAAAAATTAGCTCCTTGTTTGAGTCAGAGTTGAGTCAGGGCTTTGTGAAGTTGAATGATGAGTCGAGTCGGCAAATTTTTTGAGTCGAGCACAACCCTGAGTGAAACCATTACAAATATACATAAAACCCTACGTACGTACTTACATTGCGAGCGGGCATGTGTAGCTGCTTGACATGATAGCTCTTCCCGTAAAACCTTTTTTTTGGTCGAAAGTGGATGAACATGACATCACTCTGACGTCATTTGTGGCCAGCCTTTCATATGCTCTGGAACGATTTTTTTTTTACACAAGTTGCATAAGTGATGTATGAGAGGGCACTGAAAGTTTCGCGACGATCGACGCAGTAGTTACTAGTTTCAGGGGCGGGGCTTCCTATACCTACAGTTGGCCCCACCAACTTGGTATTTTACCCCACCAATAAGCGTTTTGCTCCAACAACTTTGGCTGATTTCTTAGACTTTGTTGCTTTGCAAATTAACCCCGCGTTCGATGTCTCTCGGACGGCGAAGATTCTACGCCGTCCGGCCAATCACGTTTCATAACCGCAGCCGAGCCCCCGCTGACCTTGGACGGGATTGGCCGGACGGCAAAGAATCTTTGCCGTCCAGGAGACATCGAACGCCGCCTAATCCTTTTCGCATTGAAGAGCTTTGGGAATGTCTGTTTCATGCAAAATATTATATCTGTAATGATAGGAATTGATTCAGTGCTGGCATTTCATTCAACTTCATAATCAGACATTGTGGTTTTGATGACTTTTTGCCCCACCAACTTCCCTGGAAAAGCTCCACCCATGACTAATTTTAGAGGTAATGCAAAAAAGACTGGAGAGTGGAGGGGGAGGGTCAGGGACGGGCAATAAATAGCTGCCCTCCACCAGGGCGTGGGATAATGCATGATATAAAACATCATTTCAGGCATGGTGGAACATTTGCAACCACAAAAAAACACTAGAAACACACGGATAATGTACGATGACGTATACAAGCATGTGTCTCGCGAGATTAAGCGGTAGGTTTTGCCCACTTTTACATTTCCGGTTATATCTCCGAAACTAGTCGATCTACGATGAAACCATTTTACACGATCATGGCTGGCTTGTTACCCAACAAGTCGATCGCATCTTCAACACAAGCTTAAGACGACGAAGATATAGCCTGAAGTACCTTAACATTAAATTTTCTAGGTGCAAACCCTACCGCTAAAAACCGCGAGACCTGTACCTACCTCCATAGGTATAGGAAGGTACGCCGAATCACGATTGGCTAGCCTAAATTTCACGAAATTTTCAGGGTAGGTGTTGGATAATTAACTCCTTGGTAGGTATGTACGGATGTACCTACTGGAATTTGGAAATGAAAGTTTTGTCGCGATCGGTCGCTCTTTGCATGACTCATTCGTGAAAACCAAGGGGGTTCTGCCTCCTTATAGGTATCTTGATAACTTGGTTTCTTCATTTAGGTAGGTATCGTAAGATCCTTAGTCCTTACCCCTTATCCGACCTCACCCCCCCCCCCCATCGTTAGGGGTGCCCAAGGCCGTATATTAGGGGGTGCCTACGAAAACGGCGGGGAAAACACCTGAGTCGCCAAAAACGGTGAAGGTATTCCTTCAAAAGCTGCCATACCATGATCATTTGGCACAATATTATGCGGCAAACCATACGCTACCGACGATACTGCGGCAAAAGATATTGATTGCGTTTCATAACGTAACCGGACAAATCTTCGTATGGCAATTCTTCGTCGCGCAATTCCTCGTCCGCATTTCTTCGTCCGCAAATCTTCGTCGGCGCATAAATTCGTGTCGCATAACTTCGTCTCGCATTTCTTCGTAAGCGCAAATATTCGTAGCGCATTTTTTCGTATCCGCATTTCTTCGTACGTGCATTTCTTCGTCAAGCATTTTTTCGTCCACGCATTTCTTCGTCTACGCAAATCTTCGTCCGCATTTCTTCGTCCACGCAAATCTTCGTCTACGCATATCTTCGTCCGCAAATCTTCGTCCCCGCAAATCTTCGTCCGCAAATCTTCGTCCGCATTTTTTCGTCCACGCATTTCTTCGTCTACGCAAATCTTCGTCCGCATTTCTTCGTCCACGCAAATCTTCGTCCCGGCAAATCTTCGTCCGCAAATCTTCGTCCGCAAAACTTCGTCCGCAAATCTTCGTCCGCAAATCTTCGTCCGCAAATCTTTGTCTGCGCATATTTTCGTCCGCAAACCTCTGTCTCCGCTATCTTCGTCTCCGCAAACATTCGTCCACAAATGTGGTTCAATAAAACCATGAAGAAATATCGACCATCAAGTGATTGACGAATTTAATGCATGGAATGGATGATCGAAACTTTTGAAGTCAGGTAGATGAGGTCTGTCAGGTGAAGATATTGTATTTGGGAGCCGAGAATCGAAACATTCCATCAGGGGCGGATCCAGGAAAACTCCAAGGGGAGGGTCATGAATCGAAGTGGTGCCCCTACCTATACCCAAAATTAAAAACTCAACGGATTTCGTCCACTTCATTTTGGTGGTGCCCCCATTTTCTGTTTTTTATTTTTATTTTTTATTTTTAGTCAGTATCTTACCTCTTAGCCACAACCACATTTACCAATTGTAAGCAAGTATATATGAATGTGCTATGTGTATATATGTTGTGGACGCTGAATAATGAGTACTTACCACTTACCAGGAACGTTATCAGGTAAGCAAATCGTTGTCAGTCCGACGAACTTGACCCTGGCGTCTAAAGGGTCTGTCCTTGACACTTCAGGCTTGTCAGGGGCACCAAAGTCCTTCCAGGGACACCACAAACCTGTCAGGGGCACCTACGGCCTTGTAGGGGCGCCACAGGCCCGCCAGGGGCACCACAGGCCTGCCAGGAAGCAGGGGCACCACAGGTCTAGCAAGTATACACGACAGGCCTGTCAGGGGCACAACGGGCCTGTTGGGCCCATGAGCACCCCTAGGGGCAGGGGCACCACAGTCCTTCCAGGGGCACCGCAGGCCTGTGAGGGGCACCAGCGGCCTAGCAGGGGCACCAGTCAACACAGGCCTGCCAGGGGCACCACAGACCTGCCAGGGGCACCAGAGGCCTGCCAGGAGCACCACCGACCTCGCAGGGGTAACTTGGGCCTGTCAGGACCCAGGGGCACCACGGGCCTGTCGAGAGGCACTTCAGGCTTTTCAGGGGCACCATAGTCCTCTCAGGGCGCAGGGGTAGCAGGGGCACCAAAGGCCTGCCAGGGGCACTACAGGCCTAGCAAGGGCACCACTGGTCTATCAGGGGCACCACGAGCCTGTCATAGCCAGGCATCTCAGGCTTGTCAAGGCCCAGCGGCACCACAGGTCTGTGAGGGGCACCAGCGACCTAGCAGGGGCACCAGTCAACACAGGTCTGCCAGGGGCGCCACAGACCTGCCAGGGGCACCACAGACCTGCCAGGGGCACCAGAGGCCTGCCAGGGGCACCACCGGCCTCGCAGGGGCACCTTGGGCCTGTCAGGGGCACGACGGGCCTGCCGAGGGGCACTTCAGACTTTTCAGGGGCACCAGTCCTCTCCGGGCGCAGGGGCACCAGAGGCCTGCCAGGGGCACCAGCGGCCTAGCAAGGGCACCAGAGGCCTGCCAGGGGCACCAGCGGCCTAGCAAGGGCACCAGAGGCCTGCCAGGGGCACCACAGGCCTAACAAGGGCACCACGGGCCTGCCAGGGGCACCTCAGGCTTGTCAGGGCCCAGGGACACCACAGTCCTTCCAAGGGCACCGCAAGCCTGTCAGGGGCACCAGAGGCCTGCCAGGGGCACCGCAGGCCTAGCAAGGGCACCTCTGGCCTGTCAGGGGCACCTCAGACTTGTCAGGGCCCAGGGGCACCACAGTCCTTCCAGGGGCATTACAAGCCTGTCAGGGGCACCAGAGGCCTAGCAAGGGCACCACAGGCCTGCCATGGACACCACAGGCCTGCCAGGGGCACCACCGGCCTTGCAGGGGCGCCTCAGGCCTGTCAGGGGCACCACGTGCCTGCCGGGGACACTTCAGGCTTGTCAGGGGCGTTACAGTCCTGTCAGGGCCCAGGGGCACCAGGCCCGTGGTGTCCCTGCTAGGCCTGTGGTGCCCCTGGCGGTCCTGTGGTGCCCCTGTCAGGACTGTGATACCCCTGATAGGCCGGTGGTGCCCCTGGAAGGTCTTTGGGCCCCCGGGCCTCAAGGGGGGGGCCATGACCCATGTGACCCCCCCCTTGGATCCGCCCCTGCATTCCATATCATTTGTGTCCCGGACATTCTTTTTTCGCGGTCGATGAATGACAATATAATCTCTTGTACCCTCGCCGGCATAGGCGGCGGAACGGGGAGGGCACCGGGGCACCGTTCCCCTCTTCAATTTTGGCCTTTTAACAGTAGCCCTATATGGGCCCGTTGCATGGAAAGAATGGGACTAAAAGTGGGCAGTACCGTGCCCCCCCCCTAATTGAAGGTGTTC